TTAGAGTACAAAATCAACAACAAAACACACGCAGCGTATTGTTTTTACTCTAATGCTGCTACCTGTTGAGTGTGCCTACATCGGTGATGGGCACCACCTTGCCCGCGGGTAAAGCTCTTTTAACCTTTCTATACATTTTGTATAGGCGCGTGCAGAGTAAAAGCTCTCTCTGCTCATCGCTGGTCTACATAGACCACTGATGGGCACCGCGTTGCCCGCGGGCAAAGCTCTTTTAAACTTTCCATACATTTTGTATAGGCGCGTATAGAGTAAAAGCTCTCTCTGCGCATCACTGATTTAGTTAAAAAGCGCTCTTTCTCTTTTAACTCACAAAAGAGGAAATCAAAATTGATTGCACTTGTATTGATTGTAGTGTGGAGGAAGATGGAAGATTTATTCCTCACTGAGGAATTTTTGCGATCTCTGTCTTAAAATACACTACTCAAAAAAATTAAGGGAGCTTTTAAAGAAAGGAAATTATAGTGGCTATCTGATCCATATGCCGGCCTAACTGAAAACATTTTTTTTCAAGCCCTTTGACAAAAAAAAAAATTTCAAAATAATTTTTTCGCGTTATCTGTCAGGATGACACGATAACCGTAGCTAGTCGAAATTGTTAGACAAGAAATTAGATCGTTAAAGCTTCAAAGTGCTTTTTTAAAGAAAAATTTGGATTTGTCCTCCCTTAATTTTTTTGAGTAGTGTATTATCTGCGTACATTTGTAGGTAAGGCCAGCCAATATTTTTATTCTTTGCTGTCGAAGGCAGATAAATTTTTCTTTGACTCCCACTTACAACTCGTGAACCTCCATATTTTTTTCACGCCAACGCACACCCCCGTCGAGTCTCCCGTGGACCCCTGGGAATCCAACTGGACCACTTTCGGAATCACCGCTCTAAATGAATGTACCTAACATTTGAGATTTTGTTTAAAAAAAAATTCTAAAAATTTTAGAAGCTACATGTACATATGTATGTATGTATTTAGGCATATATATGTGTTTATCCATGTATGTACATATGTACATATTCTTAGCTCGGCGCACTTTGTTGCATGATAGCAAAATATCGTATAGCAAGTATACAACGAAATTTCACTTAAATCGCCAGCTTATTTTTGAGATTGCGAAAGTCAAATGCTTATTTGTGCATTCTTTCATATTTTTTATTTTATTTTATGTACTTCATTTTCCTTTAAGAGAAAAATTATTTCAAAATTTTGTATTTTTTGGCAACCGTTCTTATGTCCACATGCCATGTACATACATATATACATATATTCTATGTGTGCTTAGTTTGCAGCACTGCATTAGATACATGCCTATATGTAAAATACATGTACTTATGTATGTATGTATGGTTGTGCATACGGGCGCTCGTTAATACTAATTTTAAAAATAAGTTTGTTAAATATCTTTAAAATATCCACCGACATGTGAATGTACATACATATCGTCACCTGCAAAATGCAAAAGGCAATAACTAACAAAAATTTGTTTTTGCATAAAACGATGTGGGAACTTGTAATGCAATATTATCAATCAATAAGAAAATTTTCGATTTTTTGTTAGTTTCGGCCTTTTGTATTTTAGGGGACGATATGTACATACATATATATGTATGTATATGAAAGTATGTATGTAAATTACTTAAGATCGTCAAGTACAGTAAAACCTTCATGACACTTAAAGCTCAATATATTTTTTCTAAAAAAAAAATCATATCTCCTAAAAAAAGTAATTCAGCTCGATTCTATGTAGTTCAAAGTGCCAGTTTTCTTGTGAAAAAGTTGAAAGAAAAAAATATAGTTTTTGCAAAATTTAATTTCGAAAAAAAAATTCATAAAAATAAATAAAATATTAAAATCGATCATTTTTAGTGAAAAAATTATTGAAATTCATTAATTTTTAAGGCCAATATGCAGCTGTCAAGAAAAGTGTCAAGAAAAAAATTGCTATTATTTCGTGTGTGTGTCCAAGGAATTTTGACATCTGATACTTCACCGGCCTGTTGTCTCACTCTTTCCTCAAGAAATAATGGAACCCGCATATATGTATTTCTGTTGCAAGTGCGGGTTACCTTGTGCTCTTTTTTCACAAAAAATTTAAGAAAACCGTAGTAGAAAGCGTAGCAAACTTCTTAAGAGCTGCGTACGGCCTCAAGAAAACTGTATACAAGAAACTTTCTTAGTCATTTTATATGAAGTTTTTGCTTTTCTTGAGAGCTGCATACTGGCCTTTATGTTGTCTTGAAATGAAAAGCATCACGGCCAAATCAAAGGGTTTAACTTTATGAAAAGCATTTCCACATATTTTTAAATCAAATTTAATTCAAAATATTTAATAAGTTGAAAGGATTATTACAATATGGATGTCAGTCGAAATGGTTTTGGAAAAGCTTTATTTTTTAACTACCTTTTTGGAGAGGTGCCACCTATTTAAAAAACCAAATTCTACTTAATTCATTAGTTAATTGATTTTCATATTAGGGTGCTTTTTGCAATTTTGTTCTATGTAAATGCCTAAAGAAAAATTCCCAGAAATACACGTAAAGATAGATTTTTTTCCCCTCAAAACTTTACAGCTCAAAGCCATTTTATGGTATAATCTTGATCAATGATAGGGTTTCTTCAAAATATATATATACGTCGCTGCAATTATCTCTTTTAAGAGACCAAACTCGTTTTGATTTTTGCAACATAACGCTATTCAATCCTTAGAATTTCCTGGTGAAATCGTTCACCTTGTTCATCGCTCATCGGACCTAAATTTGATGGGAACATATGCGAAAGAGCATGCAAATGGTGCAATAGGAGTGTACTCATACCCAAAATATCAAAAGTTTTAGAAAACTTTTGCTGGTTTTGCGTTCTCGTACCCAAAAACTTGTAAAGTACAGGAAATTGAGAGAGCAAAATGTGATAGAGAGCTGCAAATTAATGCTGGAAACATTTTTACCAGCGAAAACTTGCAAGTAAGAAAATCAGCTGATCACAAACACATTTTTGTAAATAATCAAAAGAAAATGTGGCATTTTTGAGTTATATATTGCAAATTTTATTATTAATTCTGGTATACAACGTAAAAGTGAGTAAATTTATTAAGTACGTTTGTTGAGTTTATTTTTCGTTAATTTACTATCAATCTCCAGTTTACTTTAGTGTGTGCTGACTATGGTTACCGTATGAAATTTTTCGTTTGTACCATAATTTTCCTTTAAATATACCGAAACAGATTAAAATGCAACATGCTGAAATGTTTTTTCTTGAAGTTGTCAGTTTTAATAGGTTGATTGTTAAAATGAAAATTTTATAATTTTAAAGCTAGTTTTGTAGCTATATATATACAATTTTTTTTTTTGGATCGATGGTGGGTGTTTGGAGTCGATTCTCTTATTTTTGAATGCGTCACCATGTGATATCACAAATAATGGTGAGAAAAATAACTTATTCATTCCGATATAATTAACTTGTATTTAAAAAAGGTTTTTCTTATCCAAAACTATTAAATTGTATGAAATGCCAAATCGGAGGAAAGCGTACCAAGCAGAAAATCCATTACCAAATGAACCACCAGGGGCAACTGCGGTAGTGATCAGCTGTTTGGAAGTCCGCAAGTTTTTGCAAATTTTGCGTTCTCATACTTCTGTAGATATTTTGTCTCTTTGAGAGCGAATGCTGCTTAATTTCTCAGAATTTTTGCTGCTCGATAATTTTATCCGCTCAATACGAGTACACACAGTAAAGCCCTGTATGCAGCTCTCAAGAAAACGGTCAAGAAAAAATTGCCATTATTTCGCGTGTGNAGCCTGTTGCCTCACTCTTTCCTCAAGAAATAATGGAACGGGCATATATTTCTGTTGCAAACCTGGGTTGCCTTGTGCTCTTTTTTCACAAAAAACTTTAGAAAACCGTAGTAGAAAGCGTAATAAATTTCTTAAGAACTGCGTAATGCCTTATAGCCCGAACACAATGAAAACGACGAGCTACAAACTACAGCTGTCAAATTATTTTAACACGTACTCTTATGCAGATAATTATTTTGGCGACGACCGGGCTACGCGACGGCTGTGGTTGTGGCCAGATTAGATCTATTTCTATTTTTCTGGCGACAGATAAGGTTCTTCCTCTTCTTTTATGTCAAACTCATACAAATTCATGATGTCGCTGCCGCGTTCAAAGAAATCATGTCGCCATCGACAAAGCGTTTAGATAATGAAGATAACAAATTGGTAGCTCGTCGTTTTCAATGTGTTCAGAACTTTAAGGAAATTTGACTCAAGAAAATTTCTTAGCCATTTCTTGTACGTCATTTTATATGGAGTTTTTGCTTTTCTTGAGAGCTGCATACAGGCCTTAATGAAGAAAATCGAGGTAATAAGTGGTCATATGAAAATGCGCAAAAATTTTTGGTATGAAATATTATAAGGAAAGAATGTTACTCATACGCCATGTACACCTGAAAATATCTCAAAAAATTATCCATAAAATAAAAACTTAACTCGATTTTCGGAATCAGCAAGCAATTCTATATAGGCATTGAATACGTAGTGGCGTCCGTTGAACATTTTCCCTGTAAGCCAGTGTTGTTTTTAAGTTTTTGTCTTTTTTTAGTGCCTTTTGCCTGTTTTGCTATTTCTAGTGCCTTTTCCTGCCTATTTCGTTATTTTAATTTGCCTTTTCCAGCCTATTTCGCACTTCTTATAAGACAACTAATGACATGAAAAATTTGCTAAAAAGGCTAAAATATGTACAAAATAGTCACAGAATGTCCAATGCATTAATACTTAAATACTTCATATCAGTAGAATAAATTAATTCCACGTATTTTTTCATATTGTATTCAACAAATATTTTATCTCAAATCCGTGTTACACGGCAACACGCGATTGCGTAGAAAACTTGCCTTAAATATGTGTAAATTTTAAATGAGTGTAATTGTTCAGCGTTTATAAAGCAAAAATTTCCAGTAGGCAATCTTTTTCGAGTCTCGAAAATGGCAATACTCGTGTTTGTTTTCCTGCATTTTGCTGTCATTCGAGATTGTCGGCATTTTCATTTCATATCATTCGTAAATATTATTAAACATAACCTCACAAATATACAATAAACAGAATAGTGTAGACAACGTTGTAAGTGGAATTGACTTTTTCTATAAAAATTAAAAAGTGATTCAAAAAGTTTTTAAGAATAACACGCATCTCCGCCAAAATGAAGGAGACACCGCTTTCCACAGTTGAACGAAATTTCATTACACAAGCAGTCAAACAGAACTTGGTAAGTGGTCAAATACCCGCGACAAACACGCGGTGCCAAAAATTGTTTTCAATAAAAATAAGTTTTACCAAATTACCTTTCAGCGGCTTGATGGTCGGAAAAATGATGAATTTCGTAAGGTAACTATCAATTTCGGTGCCGACTGGGGCAGCGCGTTGGTATCGCTTGGTGAAACAAAAGTGCTCGCACAAGTATCTTGTGAACTAGGAGTACCCAAGTCTACGCGACCTAACGAGGGTATGATATACATTAATGTAGAACTAGGACAAATGGCAGCGCCACATTTCGAATCTGGTCGTAACTCAGAACTAAATGTACAAATTAGTCGTACACTGGAGCGGACTTTTAAGGATTCACGCTGTGTTGATTTGGAATCACTTTGTGTCACAACCGAGGAGCGTGTTTGGGTGCTGCGTATTGACTTGAATGTGCTCAACCATGAAGGCAACTTAATTGGTATGTGCGAAAATATAAGCTAAAAGTTATAAAAATGTTATAATAATTGTTAAATTTTAGACTGTTGTTCAGTGGCCGCGCTCAGTGCTTTGATGCACTTCAAGCGTCCAGATGTAAGCATCATTGACAACGACGTAC